CCATGCTGCCCGTTTCAAAATTATTCAGTCCCCCGCCCTGCCTGCGCGTCTGCGCCTGGAGAAGGGGAGACGCCTCCCCCTCCTCATATGACTGGCTGACACTTTCCGCGTCCCCACTCTCCCCCACACTCTCCCCCTCGCTCTCCCCCTCCCCGCTCCCTTCCACCCCTTGCCCCCCCCGCGCTGCCTTCCCGCTCGCCTCAAACGCGAAGTTATCCTCCTCCGCCTCCGTCCCGCTCTCCCCCACTGCGTGCGCGGCTCCCCCCGCGCCCGCGCCCGCGCGCTTGGCCATGGCGGCGAGCTGGCGCGCAAGCAGCGCGTTGTGGTCCTTCAGGCGGTCGATCAGCTGCGCCGCCAGCTCCTCGCGTTCCGCCGCCGCCTCCGCCTCTTCCGCCAGCCGCTCCACCTCCTCGTCCACCCGCGCCATGGCCGCGTGGTGCGCGCGCTCGCGCTCCGCCGCCTCGCGCACCGCAGCCTCCATCTGTTCACGCAGCTGCTCCGCCACGCCCGCGCCCTCCGCGCGGAACGCCTCGAGCGCGCTCCAGAGCTCGTCCGCGTCGAGCTGCGCGCGCTCCACGTCGCGCTGCAGGGCGGCGTTCGCGCGCTCCGCCGCCACGCGCCTCAGCCACTCCGCCTCCGCCACCGTCTCCGTGCTGCGCAATAGCTCGCGCTCCCGCCGCAACTCCTCCTGCACCTGCTCCATCTGTGGGGGGAACGCGCGAGGGGGGTTGCGGGGAAGGAGGTGTGAGGATACGCGGAGAGGAGTGGGGGCAGAATGGGTGCGGCTGTGATAAGTGCACCACAGAATGGAATTCCCGCACCCCCCCATCCACGCACCCCACAACCACGCAACCCCCACCCGCGCAGCCCCCCCACACGCGCATCCCCCATCCGCGCACCTTGATGATCATGGCGGCGGAGCGCCGCCCGAGCTCCTCGACGCGCTTGATGGCGCCATGCATGCACGCTCGCACCCCCCCCACTTCCCCCCGTACCTGCCCACCCGCGGACACCCCCCCTGTCTGCCGCACCTCAATTGTCATGGCGGCGGAACGCAGCCCGAGCTCCTCGACGCGCTTGATGGCGCCATGCATGCTCGCACCCCCCCCCAACTGCCCACCCCCCCCCACACCCGTGCACACCCCTGCCCGCGCAACCCCCATTCGCGCACCTCTATTGTCATGGCGGCGGAGCGCAGCCCCAGCTCCTCGACGCGCTTGATGGCGCGCGCAAGGTCCTCTTCGAGCGCCGCCATTTCCTCCTCGTCCTCCTCCGCCTGCTCCGCCATGTCCTCTATGCGCGCCTGTAGCATCTCCACCTCCGCCTCCTGCGCGCGCACGCGCGCGTCCGCCTCCTCCCGCACCACGCGCTGCTCCTCCGCGAAGGCTTCCGCCAGGGAGAGCGCTGCGCGGGATGGGGGGAGGGAGAGGGGGACAGCGAACGAGATGGTTCGCGGAACAGGGGAGAGAGGGCGCAGGAGGGGGCGCGGGGAGGGGAACGCGAGGTGCGGTCCCCGGGGCCCCAGGCGGCGGTGCGCGGATGGGCGGAGCGAGGTACAGGGAAGAGCGGCGGTAGAGAGTAGAATGAAGCGAATGCCGCACAGGTGATCGCGGGGGTGTGAGAGTGGAGGCGTGAGGGAGCGAGAGTGAGAATGAGGGGCATAAAGGAGGGAAGAATTAGCTGCTATTGGGATATGCGGCCTGCTGGCCCCCTCTCCTCCTCCCCCCTCCTCCACCTCCCCCTCTCCCCCGCTGTCCCTCACCCTCTCCCGCACCCCTTACACTCCCCAGCGCCCCCCCCTCCCCCCCCACTTCTCCCCCCTCCCCGCGCCTCACCCTCGCGCGCGTCTGCCAGGCGGTCTTCGAGCGCCTGCAGCTGCCCCCCGAGCGCGTGGCCCCGCCGCGCGTCGCCCAGCTGATCTCTCAACTCGCGCAACTCCTGCTCCAACTCCATCTCCTGCTCCGCCGCCGCGCGCGCCGCGCACACCGCGCACGACGGGTTGGAAGGGGGAAGAGAGCGCGGGGATGAGCAGAGGGAGAGAGAGAATGAGCGTGAGGCAATGGTGAGAGTGCCAAGAAAGGAGAGCTACGGAGGAGAGGAGGGGGGGGGCGAGGAAAAGAAAAGCAAAAAGGGGAAGATGGGGGAAAAGAGAGGGAGGGAGGGGGGGGTGGGGGAGAGGGAGAGGAAGGGACGGGGGGAAGAATGGGGAAAGGGAGGGACGGAGCGGTGCGGGCGTGGAGGAAGGCGGGGGGTTGGGGCAGGAAGGAGGCTGTACTTTTCTCGTCCAGACGGCTTCTTTGTCTTTATTCGACGCCAACAGCATCGTCAGCTCATCTTCGTGGAACCGCCTCGCGCGCTCCGCCTCTTGTCGCTCCGCCTCCAACTCCCGCGTGAGCTCCTCCACGCGCTGCGCCAGCTCCGCCTCCCGCTCCCCTCCCACGCCATACCGCGCGCGCTCTATCCCCGCGGGGCCCGCCTTTTGTCCACAAAAGCGAGCGAAGAGAGCGAGCCAGAAAAAGAAACGGGGATAAACAAATAAAGGTACGGGTGAAGCCGCGAATGCGAAGAGTAGGCAGCGAACGGCGCCGGCAGAAGAGGGAAATGAAGACAGGAGAGAAGCGCTTGGCATAGCAAGGCAGACAGCACGACGATTTGTCACTATCGCGAATCTAACGGAGCCGATCAAGCGGAAACGGAAAGAGACAAACTACCTCTAATCGGCTCCGCAGCTCCGCGCACTCGACCCGCGACGCGCGCAGTTCAAGACGGAGTCGATCCGCCTCTGACGCCATGAAAGGACAGATTGCTACACCATAGCTCTCGACGCCGCGTTGCTTCAAACACTCCTAAAAGTTACGACAACCCTCGCTATACAATCGGTGCGCGAAAGCTGGTGACAAGTGGCCAGCAGATGTGAGTTAGGTAATTCGGCAGTACTTCTGGTGAAAACTGCTCTAGATCATTGCGGCGAAACCCTAGAAGCGATTGCGGCAGTGAGGAAGAGTGGTGGTGGGTGGTTGTCCAGGTTGGCACGGCGCGCAGCAAAGTTGATTCAGGCGCTGGTGGGTTGGATGGGGAAAACAAGGCTTCTCTAAATTTCACTCGAGGTTTCACCCAGCGGTCAGTTGATTCAGGAACAAGACAATTATCCAACTCAGTGTGGGGGATGGTTGCGGGGTGTTCGTAATGAGAGTTGTTCACGGGTGAAAGACAATAGTTTCGAGAGTTTTATGAGCTGGTATTTAGCTGAGGAATCTTCCAGTCACGATAATCCTACCTAGCGTAGAAGCAAACTAAAAGGACCTCCCAGCAGCAGGCTGAATCCAAACTGGTCAATGTACAAGCTATAGTGTACGGCAGCCAGGCTGACCACGTGAAATGGAACACAATAAAGGTAACAATGGCGCGAGGCACACTCAGGCGGTCAGTGCAGAAACTGTCTCTTTAGGCGGTCAGTGCAGAAATTAGGCAAGGAAAAAGGAAATAAGCCCATTGAACTCTGCCACGCGAGACAGGGTCAGCTGAACAAGTGCCGCACGTCAGAGAGCAGATACCCTACAGGGTGGAGCGCACGACGCACACTCGCTGCGGCGGTGTTGCCAGGAACGCAAAGCAACTAAATCGAAGGTTCTCATCGCGTAGAGCAGTTACGGGTAGATTACGAAAAGGCGACTCAACGACGGCTCGAATTGTTCAAAATCGGTTACGGAGTTTGAAAAAGTCTGAACCTATACAGAATTGTTAGCAGCTCCCAATTTGACAAGTCACAATGGAAATGATTGAGATACAACTCCCCCCTTTTCTTGATTAAAAAACATAATATTCATCTAAGTTTTGTCTACATAATAGTCCACGATAACCCACGAAGAGGCACAAGTCACAAATTTCTTGCACATGCATGCATAATATATGGATCTAACCTACAGTGTTCAATTAGGATATCCCTCAACAAACAAGAGCTGCTTACATAGTTATTATGTTACAATGTACCTGTCAGTTGGATTTGGGCGACGGGAGTCCATTACTCGTTCGCGCCCTCTGACAGCTGAAGGAGCCAAAGTGCTGGCTATCCCCACGTGTGGCAGCGCTGCTGGGCTGCGCCGTTGTTGGATACTTTCTGAGCCCTCCCCCATTAGTTCGCTTTCAACCAAGTCATCCGCAAACTCGTGAAGCAATTCGCTGGAAGGCGCAGCTTTCCTGGAGATTGTCGAGCTGGCAATTTTCCTCACACGCTGACCATTACAGCTCTGCTGCCAGGTGACGGCTACTGATTGGAGAGAACCAGCAAGGCATAAGTCTTGTTTTCAAAACGCGTCTCCTCAACGGGTGTGTTCATTAATTCTGCCGCTTTATCTGTCATAGTTTCTGTACAAATGCAATAGTTACTAGGAAATGGAGGTCCTAAGATGTTATTTTACTAATAACCAGTGGAACTGAAACTAAAGCTGAATTACTACTGAATATGCAGTCGTCGACGGTCAGAGCGGGTAAATGGTGTGAATTGTGAATAGTCTCAGAGCAACCCATGTGGGTCACGGCTTCAAATCAATCGATCCCACGTAGCATCAGACTGTGCAATCCGAGCCGCTCATCCATTCCCCGTCGACTTCCCTCCTTTCCACGATTCCGCATTCCTGACTACAGAGGCTTCTCCTACCCTCCCTCACCTCCTTCCTTTGCTCTTCCTTTCCCCTTCACAGCCATGCCAACCACACTCTTTTTCTTTCATCACGAATTGAAAACAATAAAAAGCACGAGCTTCTTAGATTTTCCCAACGTCACACTCTAGATTCAAACTGCTCTTTGCCAGCTCGTTCTCCTCCCAACCAAGTACTGCATTCACAGCATCACTGATAGCCATAATGGCCGCTACAACCACCTCCTTGCGCCTCGCCCCTGCGTGCGCCACGCTGCGAGCAGACCCCGCGCATTCGCTGAAAGGCGCAACCACCGTGAAAGCCGGTCCGAAGCGCCAAAGAGCCGGCGCAGCTCGCGCCGCCATGATGGAGGCGCCACCGGTCCCAATGAAGAGCCACGAGGAGAAGAACCTGTACGTTCCTCCCTCTCTCTCTCTCCGCCCCTTCCTACCTTGCTTTCCATTTCATTCTGCTTTCGACTACTTGGCCCCGTCTCTCCGCACGTGCTGGCGTTATTTCGTGCTCGCGCGGCTTCGTGAAATGGCCACGTTGCTCCATTCGCGTCTGCCTGCCGCCGTCAGTGACGAGAAACGAATCCCACCCTCAACTCCTCGGTCCCTTGCCGCGCTCTGTTTCCCTTTGCCCGGGATTTACACCCCCGGCACCGCAGGCCGCACATTGAGCAGATCAAGGCGCTCTCACTAGTGACGGCGATCAAGACGCCGTATCTCCCGGACGGGCGGTTCGACATCGACGCTTACGACTACCTGGTGCACCACCAGATCGAGAACGGCACGGAGGCCATCATCGTGGGCGGCACGACGGGCGAGGGGCACCTCATGAGCTGGGACGAGCACGTGATGCTTATCGCGCACACGGTGAACTGCTTCGGCGATCAACTCAAGGTTATTGGGAATACCGGCAGTAACAGCACGGGCGAGGCGATGCACGCGACGGAGCAGGGCTTCGCGGTGGGCATGCACGCGGCTCTGCAGATTAACCCGTACTACGGCAAGACCAGCGTCGACGGAATCATTCAACACTACAAGTGAGTGCGACTCGTGTGGCGCGCCTGCTCTGCGGTAGCTAGGATGTTAAATAACCAACGCACTGCCTTCAGAAGGTACATAATTTATTTTGTCTCCAGTTACCGTCGAAACGCGGCCTCTCGCCTGCCTTTTCACCTTGTAACCTTCCTCCAATGTCTCATTATATTCCCTCTCCCCTCTTATCCGCTCACTGTCGTTCCACGAGCGCAGGGCGGTGCTGCCGATGGGCCCCGCGATTATCTACAACGTGCCGGGGCGCACGGGGACGGACCTGACGCCCGACGTGATCGAGGAGCTCGCCCAGCACGAGAACTTCGCGGGCGTGAAGGAGTGCGTCGGGAACGACCGCGTGTCGACGCACACTAGCAAGGGCATTGTCGTGTGGAGCGGCAACGACGACCAATGCCATGATGCCAAGTGGAAGCACGGCGCGAATGGTGTTATTTCCGTTCTCAGCAACCTCGTCCCCGGTAAGTTCCGCCCCGAGATTGGCAAAGATTCCAAGTCAAAGCCAATAGTCATCCTGAGTCCCAAGTCGTTGCAACACATCCCCATTCTCAGCAACCATGTCCTGGCGCGTGCCGTTCCAGCCCGCCCCCTCTGTCTCTCACACCACCATGCCTCTTCCCACCGCCCTTAATGCCGCTCTCGTCCCCACTCCGCTCTCGCGCGGCATGCCCACGCCGCCTCTCACCATCCCCCTTCTTGCCCCTTCTACCTGTACCTCATCTCTCCTGCATCGCCTCATGCTGCCCGCATCTCTCCCCCCCTCCCCCCCCTCTTCCGCCTCCCCCCCTCAGGGCTGGTGCACGAGATGCTGACGACGGGTCCGCACCCCGAGCTGAACGCGAAACTCGCGCCGCTCACCAAGTGGCTGTTCCTCGAGCCCAACCCCATTGGGCTCAGCACGGCGCTCTGCCAGCTCGGCCTCGTGCGGCCCGTGTTCCGCCTGCCGTACACGCCCTACAACGAGGCGCGGCGACGCGAGTTCGTGGAAATTGTGAACAACATCGGGCTGGAGCACTTCATTGGCGCGAAGGAAGTGCGCGCGCTGAAGGATGACGATTTCCACCTCATCACGCGCTTCTACTAGCTGTCTCGCCACACGTCACCGGCTGCTACAGTGTTCTTTTCTCTTAGAAAGTTGAAAATACGTCCATCAACCTCAGATGTACTACTGCAACGCAGAGGGTTAGAAAGGCCGGGTTGCTCCTGGTATCTATATTATTCAGGTTAGCATTGTGTCTTGGCAGTGAGGCCTTTCATTCAGAGCTTATATACGTGGATGTCTTTTGCTCTTTATGTTGCCTTTTTGTACCAATGAAAGTCTCTTGATAGGCTAGTACAAACGAATTAAGTACATCTTTCGTGTTCTCATATCCAGGTGTCCTCGCATGGCCGTGTCGTGTGTTACCGCACCGAACTTGGATGGAGTGTGCCATGTGCTTGGTGTGGTGGGGTGTGGCTTGTTACACTATGCCAGGCACTTGCTCCTATGGCCATCACATCCATTACCACTCTCAACCTCTATCATTGTCCCCGGACGATCATAGATGCTGTCAGTACAATCCACTACAGTAGGTCAACGGAATAAAGTCACTCTCTCAACCGTTCATCCTTACCACATCCATTTACAACTATACCCTTCCCGTTATATTCCCTCCGCGTAACCCTGCCTACCAATCTATGTTATGACCCGTTGTTTACAGATACACCTCAACCATCAGGGGTTCTTTTGATTGTTCATGCACCCAAACCCAAGGGTTTGGTTAGCTCCATCAACGTTACTGGCATTGCGATAGATACGGTACTGACAAACCGCGGAAACACACTGCCGATGATATATGATTTGGAATATATATACATATAACAATATAGACGTATACCTAATCGTGCGTAATCATTTTTTTTCCATTTTAACCACTTCGGGGATGACGAGGAAGCCAAAAACATATTTTAGAACAAAAGCGCAATGTTTAAGTAAACACTGTATCTGTTCACCCTTCCATCCACGCTCAATGATCGACACAACTGGTGCATTCTGCAGTGAGTATCTCCGCTGCTCATTCCAGCTTCCCACCTCGTTCTCACTCCTCCCTCCACTCTCCCGCCTCTTACGGCGTTGCATTGCACGCTGCGGCACTCCCCGTCCCTTCTCGCACGCTTCTCTTCCCGATCCAGCCTTTAAAGGCTAATCAGGACCATCTTATCACGAACGCGTGGATCATATATATTCCCAGCCCGCGTTAACCCTAATTTCTCTTCCTACTAATTCTCCGTCCAGCCATGGCGTCCACCGACCTAACATCGAAGATAGCTCCGTTTCTGGATCGCCATTTGGTGTTCCCGCTGCTGGAGTTCCTTCAGGACCGTCAGATCTACCCCGAGGAGGAGATTTTGACGGCTAAGATCGAGCTGCTGGGGCGCACGAACATGGTGGACTACGCCATGGACATCCACAAGTCGCTGCACCACTCCGAGGAGGTTCCGCCCGGTGAGTGTCACTCGCGCGTTTTTATGATGAGGAATTTCTGCCCGGCGTTTCGCGGCTTATTTCGGGGAATAAATTCCGCACCACTCCGACCAGGTCCTGCCCTGTGCGTGGCGCCTTGCAACGGGGAATTCCGTAGGCAGATGGTCGCAGAGGGCTGCTTGAAGCGGAACGAGATGATCGAGGGGTCGCGGCACGTTGCGTCGGGGAGGGGAGGTTACAAGGGCTGACGAAACAGCCGAGTCCCGAGGGTCTTGCATGGCGTTATGGTCTTACACGTGTCGTTGTAGCTCTCCCCGTGGCATCGCGTGACGAATAAGGTGTCTGGTTTAGCCATGGCGAGGCGCGAGTCCACTGGTGGACGCAAAGCCCTCGTTAAACCCTTCCCGCGCCGTTCCGTCGTGCGCTACTGCTGCGCGTAAGCTCTTATTCTCGCCGCCCTTTTGCTCCCGCCCGCCCTCCCTCCCGCTCCCCATTCCTCCCCTTACTTTCCCCTCCATTTCCCGCCGTCTTGATCGACGCGCGTGCGTCGGGATTTACGTGTTGGTGGCGCTGACAACGCGGCGGCGCGAGCAGCCATGGTGGAGCGGCGCGACGAGGTGGTCAGCCCGCTTATGTCCCCCTCCACCCTCTCCATCCCTTCTTTCCTCTCCCCCGCACCCCCCCTCTTCCTTCCTCCCTCGCTCCCTCCATCTCTCCAACGCGGCGGCGCGAGCAGCCATGGTGGAGCGGCGCGGCGAGGTGGTCAGCCGCCTCAAGACGCTCGAGGAGGCGGCGGCGCCGCTTGTCGCGTTCCTGCAGAACCCTGCGACGGTGCAGGAGCTGCGCTCCGATAAAGCGTACAACCTGCTCATGCTTCAGGAGAAATACCAGGTGAGACCAACAGAGGCTCGTACAGCGCCACGCTGGGACAACTCGACCAGCCGTCGTTGCTTCTCTCTCCGCGTCCCTAGCTCCTTTTCTCGCCGTCCCCCCTCCCCCGGCGCCTCTCCCCTCCCTCCTTCCGAAGCTTCCGCGCGTCCGTCACTTGTCGCTCGCGCTCCTCCGCCCCCTCTTCCTTCCCCCTTCCTCTCCCCCCTGCGCAGATCGGCGCGGAGGGCGTGGAGGCTCTCTGCTGGTATGCCAAGTTCCAGTTCGAGTGCGGCAGCTACAGCGGCGCCGCCGTCCCAGCCAACCCCCCGGCCCACCTAACCCGCTCTCCCTCCCCCGCACTTCCCCCCAGATCGGCGCGGAGGGCGTGGAGGCGCTGTATTGGTACGCCAAGTTCCAGTTCGAGTGCGGCAACTACAGCGGCGCCGCGGACTTCCTCTACCAGTACCGCCTTCTCTGCTCGTCCCCGCAGCGCGCGCTCTCCGCGTCGTGGGGCAAGCTGGCCGCGGAGCTGCTGATGCAGAACTGGGACGCCGCGGGGGAGGAGCTCGCGCGGGTGAAGGAGATGATTGATTCTCAGGTGCACGCGCGGGGGGAGAGAGGGAGGGACGGGGGAAGGGGGGTGGGTGGGAGGGCGGGTAGTCGAGTGGGGCAAGCTGGCGGCGGAGCTGCTGATGCAGAACCGGGTCCCCGCGGGGGAGGAGCTCGCGCGCGTGAATGAGATGATCGACTCGCAGGTGCAACAAGGGGGGTAGGAAGAGGGGAGGATGGGGGGAAGAGGGGGAAAATGGCGGGGACGGAAGGAGACAGGAAATGGGTAGAAAGCGAGGTTGGGAGGGAAAAGGGTAACGGGTAGAGTGGGAAAAAATGGAGAGGGGGGATGCCTCATGCTTCATGCCTCATGCCTCATGCTTCATGCCTCATGCTTCATGCTTCATGCCTCATGCTTCATGCTTCATGCTTCATGCCTCATGCTTCATGCCGCATGCCTCATGCTTCATGCCTCATGCTTCATGCTTCATGCCTCATGCTTCATGCCTTGTGCTTCATGCACCCTCCGTTCCCCCACATATCTAACCACCCCCGCCCCCCCGTGCCTCTCCGCATGCGTTGAGCCCTCTTCCTGATGCTGCACTATGCACCATCCGCCCCCCATGAAGCAACCCCTCCCTCGTTTTTCCATTCCGCCTTCCCCACACGCGTCCCCTGCACACGGCTGCTGCACTGGGCGCTCGTCCTCATGCTGCGCAAGCACACCCTCAATCCTCCCTTTGAACTTCCCCCGTCTCCCCCCACTTTCGCATTTCATGAAACCACATTCACAGACCTTCGCGTCCCCGTTAGCGGTGCTGCAGGAGCGCACGTGGCTGCTGCACTGGGCGCTCTTCGCCATGCTGCACTCGGAGAACGGCCGCTCCAACCTCGTCGACCTCTTTCTCCAGGACAAGTAAGTGCGCTCTGCCCCGCTCACTCCTCTGCCTGCAGGACAAGTAAGTGCGCTCTGCCCCGCTCACTCCTCTGCCTGCAGGACAAGTAAGTGCGCTCTGCCCCGCTCACTCCTCTGCCTGCAGGACAAGTAAGTGCGCTCTGCCCCGCTCACTCCTCTGCCTGCAGGACAAGTGAGCCACGGCTCGCTCACTCCTTCGCTTCGAACCTTTTGAGTCCCGGCCCCCGGTTCCCCGGCCCTCTTACCCCCGGGTTCCAGGCTTTCTGTCCTCTAGTTTCCCTTCGCTCCCTTCCGCCCTTTCACGCCCATGCACCCACTCACCTCCCTCTCGCCCGCTCGCCTCTCTCTCGGCACCCATCCAAAAAAATGCCTGCTTCCCCCATTACCTCCCTCTCCCAGCCCTTCCAAAAAAGTGCCTTCTTCCCCCCCCATAAGATACCTAAGCGCCATCCAGACGAACGCGCAGCACCTGCTGCTCTATCTGGTGGCGGCCGTGCTCACATGCACGCACTGCCACAGCGCAGTGAAGGAGGTGACTTTTGAGTCGACTCAAAAATGTGCTCACATGCACGCACTGCGTGTAAGTAGACGACTTTTGAGACGGCCGTGCTCAAAAGTCGGCTACCTGGTGGCGGCCGTGCTCACATGCACGCACCGGCACAGCGCAGTGAAGGAGGTGGCGCGAGTGGTGGAGGATGTGGGGGTGGGTGGATTGAGGCCCGCTCCTGTTCCTCACCCTCTCTCTCCTCATTCTTCCCCCATTCTCTCCCTCCTTTCTGTCCCCTTCCCCCTCCCTCCCCCCCCTCCCCCCCCACCCTCCCCCCCTCCTCCTCACCCCCCTATCAGGTATCTGAGCGCAATCCAGGCGAATGCGCAGCACCTGCTGCGCTACCTCGTTGCAGCTGTGCTCACATGCAAGCCCCGTCCCCTTTTCCCCTATGCACCTCGCCCCCCTACCCCCTGCTCCCCCTCTCGCCAGGTATCTGAGCGCCATTCAGACGAACGCGCAGCACCTGCTGCGCTACCTCGTTGCAGCCGTGCTCACATGCAAGCCCCGTCCCCCCTTCCCCCCCCACCCTCCCCCCCTTCCTTCCCCCAACAGGTACCTGAGTGCCATTCAGACGAACGCGCAGCACCTGCTGCGCTATCTGGTGGCGGCCGTGCTCACATGCAAGCGCAGGCGCAGCGCAGTGAAGGAGGTGGCGCGGGTGGTGGAGGCGGAGAGGCATGCCTACAGCGACCCGCTCACGCAATTCCTGCTGGCGCTGGTTGTGGACCTTGATTT